GGGGGTGGTGATGGTGGTGATACCCCCCCCCCCCCCGCCTCATCACGGGGGTAGCGATCGCGCCCCCACGCCCCAAATAATCCATCGATGATCCTCGTACCGGGCGCGTTGATCACAATCAGCGGCCGCGTGTGCGTGTGTGGGGAGCGGTGGCGCAGCGGTGAGCGCACTGCGCTACGCACCCGGTAAGCCGTCTTTGATTCCCACTCGCGGTCAACACCGCGTGGTGACGATGACCTTAACCGGTCCCGGGCCTCTCACAGGTCGAGCCGGCTTCAACTGAGTACCTGGGGTGGCGCGTACACAGGACCACGAGGGAGACGAAGACGGCCACCCCCCCCCCCCCTCCTCGTGTGAGACTTCATAGGTGCTCACTAATAGCTCTTGCCTCACTCATCTGCTAAAGGCTGTACGGGGGATCTTTGCTTTTGTTTGACGTGCACACGACCCGCCTGCCAGGCCGCCTTTGTCTCCCCGGTGCTGATTTATACACAGAGCACCGCGGGCGCGCTTGGCACCGCCCCGCGCCCCCTCGTGCGCCTTAATAGGTGCTCGCTAATTACCGGACTTATCCCATGCGATCTAATTCGGCTATACGGGGGATTCTTTACTTTGTAAGTGTACATGTTTTCGTACATGTATGTATTTGTGTATATGTGTACCTGTGTGTTTCCGATGTGTGGGCCTTAGCGGTACGTATATGTGTATGTACGTGTTTGTGTATATGTCTATGTATCTGGGGAGCGGTGGCGCAGCGGTTATCGCACACCGCTACGAACCCGGGACCAGAGTTCAATTCCCTCCGACCACCACCAACAGTGGCGATTATTTAAATAGGTCCTGGGCCTTCCGTAGGTCGATTTGGCCTCAAATCCGCGTCTGGCGCGGTGTGCTAACATCCTCACTGGGAGACGAAGTCGCCCGGGTGTGGTGTTGGTCACCCACCCCCTCGTGAGCCGTGCCGGCAGGCGAGTGGACACGATATTCATGGAAACTGCATAAACAGTGCGTGGGCAGTTGTCCACACGCATAAATAAATTCGTAGCATTCATAAACACTGCTGAAATGCAACAAAGTAAAATATGTAATCGTGTGACGTTTCTAATAACAGTCATCCTCTCTCTACCATCAATAAGGACTATTTCCCGAAACGTCAGTACTTGTGTATATGTATGTTCCTGTGATGAGGCCGTGTTGCTGATGAACGGAGCGAGCGTCGTGTACCGCGTCCGTGCGCGTGGCGAGCGGTGGCGCTGTCGTTAGCGCGCTGCGTCACGAGCCTGAGTTCGATTCCAACTCCATGCCCTCATTTCGGGGGTCCCGTGCGCGAAGGGGGTGAGACGCGTTGACTTCGCTCCGGCTGGAAGGACACGGGAGCCACGAGCCGAGCTAAGAGATCGCACTCGCCGTGGTCTTTCACGACGAAGACGCAACACGGGCTGGAGAGTGCGCGAAGAAGCGTGGAGAGACGCTCGCTTGGGATCGCACCGAGAGACGGGGAGAGACGGGAACACGGCGGCTCGAGAACGCACGCCGCGGCATCGCCCCCCAGACTGCCGAGAGGAGTGGGCGGGGCCTGGGCAGGACGCGTCACGGCCACAGGAGGCGACCGTGATGGACGATGGTCGAGAGTCGTCACGGAGCGGCAGTCAAGGAGTGGAACGCGTCCGAGAGGCCGGCCACAGCGGAGATGGAGCGATGGATCGCTAAATCGCCGGGTCGTGAGAGGTGGTGGCGCTTGGCAGTGGATTGAACATGGCTGCTGCTGCTGCTGATGATGAATGTAAATATATCCTCGACTATATTAGTGCCATGCTTCAGCTCTCTAGCCCTTTGATCGCATCATTAAAATTCACATCGGTCATTTAAGATCGCCTATACCGTCGTGTATGCTGCTGGTATGGTTGTCTGCACACGCGTTTGGGTGGAGTGGGAGGCAGTTGGCCTCCAGCAACAACGGAGGGCAGAGGAGCGAAGCTCACAACAACGAGCAGAGCGCCTGGTGGATAAACCGTTGGGGCAGTGGGGTGCACAGGTGGGGTGTCTGCCAGTCATCCCATGGCACCCGGAGCTGTTCCGTGACCTGCCAGCAGACCCTCGACACTTCGTGTGGCTTCAAAGTGCACCTAGCCTGGTACACGTGCCCTGGTCACGTCACCGCCACTTTGTGGTGAACGGTGGTTGTTGTGTGCGCACCTATCCACGTGTGTACCTGTTTATATATACACATTCACTGTGCATGTATACACGTGTGTGTATACACACAATCACTGTGCATGTATACACGTGTGTGTATACACACATTCACTGTGCATGTATACACGTGTGTATATACACACATTCACTGTGCATGTATCCACGTGTGTGTATATACACATTCACTGTGCATGTATACACGTGTGTGTATATACACATTCACTGTGCATGTATACACGTGTGTGTATATACACATTCACTGTGCATATATACACGTGTGTATACACACATTCACTGTGCATGTATCCACGTGTGTATATACACACATTCACTGTGCATGTATACACGTATATATACACACATTCACTGTGCATGTATCCACGTGTGTATATACACACATTCACTGTGCATGTATCCACGTGTGTATATACACATTCACTGTGCATGTATACACGTGTGTATATACACACATTCACTGTGCATGTATCCACGTGTGTATATATACACATTCACTGTGCATGTGTACACGTGTGTATATACACACATTCACTGTGCATGTATCCACGTGTGTATATACACACATTCACTGTGCTTGTATCCACGTGTGTATATATGATTAAACATTCACTGTGCATGTATTCACGTGTATATATATATAAACATTCACTGTGCGTAACCCAGCGCCCCTACTCGATTCCCGCTCACGACCAATAATAATAGTGGCGAATATTTTAACCGGACCTGGGCCTCCCTTAGATCGACTCAGCCTCAAATGAATACCCGATGCAGTGTGTATTAAACAACATTAGCACTGGGGAAACAAAGGTAGCCGGGCGTGATGTAGGCCACCCAAGCGCTTGTGTGCCGGGCCGGCCTTCATAGGTGTTACTCGCTAACAGCACTTGCCCCAACAGTCTGTTAGAGGCTGTACAGGGAATCTTTGTCTTTGCTTCCAATGAACGCATAATCCGCGCTCCTCCAAGCGGTCGCTTCGGCTCCGGTGCCAGCGACACGAGGGGGGGGGGGATTAGGGGGGTGGGGGGAACAGGAAATTAAACAGAGGCTCAAGTAGCTCCCCCGCACAGCACACACACCCCGCACAACACGCACACACCCCGCACAACACCCACACATCCTTCTAACAGCACACACACACCCCGCACAACACGCACACACCCCGCACAACACGCACACATCCTTCTAACAGCACACACACACCCCGCACAACACGCACACACCCCGCACAACACCCACACATCCTTCTAACAGCACACACACCCCGCACAACACGCACACACCCCGCACAACACCCACACATCCTTCTAACAGCACACACACACCCCGCACAACACGCACACATCCTTCTAACAGCACACACACCCCGCACAACACACACACCCTTCTTACAACACACACACCCTTCTTACACCACACACACACACCCCAAAGCAGACACCCCGCACAGCACACACACACACCCCGCACAGCACACACACACCCCGCACAACACCCACACATCCTTCTAACAGCACACACACACCCCGCACAACACGCACACACCCCGCACAACACCCACACATCCTTCTAACAGCACACACACACCCCGCACAACACGCACACATCCTTCTAACAGCACACACACCCCGCACAACACACACACCCTTCTTACAACACACACACCCTTCTTACACCACACACACACCCCAAAGCAGACACCCCGCACAGCACACACACACACCCCGCACAGCACACACACACCCCGCACAACACACACACCCCGCACACACACAGCACACACACGCCCACAGCACACACACACCCTTCTAACAGCACACACACACACCCCACAGCACACACCCCGTACATCACACACACACCCCGCACAGCACACACACACACCCCGCACAACACACACACACACAGCACACACACCCAGAGCACACACACACCCTTCTAACAGCACACACACACCCCACACAGCACACCCACACACAGCACACCCCGCCCAACACACACACACCCCACACAGCATACACACATACCCACAGCACACTCCGCACAGCACACACAGCACACACACCCTTCTTACACCACACACCCCCCCACAGCACACCCCGCACAGCACACACAGCACACACACACATCCCGCACAGCACACACATACACCCTTCTTACACCACACACACACACCCCGCACAGCACACAACCCCCTGTCACATCGACTCAGCATCCCCGCAGTTCCCACTCCGCTAACCCCACGAGGCATCGGGGGTCTCCCGCCGCCGCGCGTTGGAATCGCGTTAATCAAAGGGAGTCCCCGTTTAGGAGGGGTCCCCTGGGGGTCTGCTGGAGTCAAGGGGACCCCCCCGGGAGGGACCCGGGTGATGCGCGGGGTCCAACGGGGAGCGGGCAGGCGGAGAGGGGGGGATTGGGCAGCAGTGACGCGATCGTATGTGCGTGGATGTTGAATTTCTTTCGCACCGTACGTAACCGACCGTGCTCATCGGCTGCGCGGATCGCGCTCCGCACCCCCGTGCCAAGATCGGGGGCCCGGCAGCGTCCATTAGGGGACCCCCCCCCCCCGCCGCCCCATACACACACAGGGCGGGGGGGAGGGGTGGCTCAGAACAGCGCGGGTTAAATGACGTCATGTTTATTTCAATGATTAAATGACGTCATGTTTATTTCAATGATTAACATTTAGGGGCGGGGGGGAGGGGGTCGCTCGGTCGCGTGGGAGGATGGGGGGGGGGGTCACGGGACGCACCTTCACGGGGCTGCACACGGCGCGTGTGGGGGGGGGGGGGGTACAAAGAGCATCACGAGACAGAAACACGAGCCCCCCCCCCCCCCCGGAGGGGGGTGGCCCCTCCCCCCAAACCAACCACGCAGCCAGCGCCTCGACGGGCGCAGCTTTCCACCTCAATTCGCCCCCCCACCACCAGCCCACGAGATGAGGGGTGGGGGTCAAGGGTGGCAGCTTGGGGGTGGGGGGCGGATTGCAAGGGGGGGGGGTAAGGCAGGCGGGTGCAGGGAGCTGGGGAAGCGCCGCAGCTGCAGCAGGAGGGGGGGGCGGGGTGTGGGGGAGCGAGGGGGGGTGCGGGGAACGATGGGGGGGGGGGGCAATGGTGGTGGGGGGGTGCACGGGTTAGCCCCCCGACTGTACACGTGAATATTTACAGAATGTGCAATAAATTATGATGAACTCTGTGGAACAGGCTACGCAACCGATGATGAGAGCGACGGTGTGGTCGTGATATTTACACAGTATTGGCCGAATAATTACATAAATAGCTGCGATTACCTTCACTTATCATCATTACCATCATCATCATCATTGTATTAATGTTATGGTTTGTATTATCATCATTATAATTATAATTACTCGTGTTAATATCATATTGGAATTACATGGAACATGACATGGACGCTACACTATGTCACAGCTGAAAGAGGTGGGGGGCAGGTGAGGAGGGGGAGGGGGGCTCTCCCCCCCCCCATCTCACCGGGAGTTGCCCACAGGGCCAGGGGGGCTCTCCCCCCCGCCCCCCTCCACGGGGAGAGGGGCAGTCAGTCCGCAGCTCCTCCGGTCACTACGTGGTTCCTCTGTAGTGTTGGGGTGGGGGGCAATGAGGGGGGGCCCGAGGGGATGGGCCCCCCCCCCCCCCCCCCAGTGGCTCTCCCTCTCGTTGCGATCACGTGGCCGGGCTGCACAGTCTGGCCCAAGTATCAGTGGTTGAGTCGTGGACTCGGCACGAGTACTCGGTCCACTGTGTACCCACGGCTGTGTGTACTGTGTGAGTATCCTCACTGTGTGTACACTGCGTGTGCACTCAACGTGGTGATGAAAGTGTCTGTGTGTGACATGGCGCATTTCAGCCGCCACTCTGCTACACACATGGGAGTTGTGTCTGTGTTGTGGAGGATCGGCACAAAGGCGTGTGTGCGCGTGTGTGCGCGTGTGTGAGCATCTCCGTGTGTCCCAGCGTGTGCATGCGCACTCGTGTCAGTGTCTGTCTAGAATGTGTCGCCATCAGCGTTTCAAGTCCAAGTTGATTCTGTGTGTGTGTGTGGCCAGGTGTGCACTCAGGAGGCCAGTACAGAGTCTCAATTGCCAGCGAGACTTTGGGCCCCAGTCTGCTGCCACGATTTTGCGGCGTCCAATCCCACTCGAGCAATATTTTCCAACTTGGACCCTGCTAATGACGTCACGGGATCTTTAACGTCCGCAGCGAAGCAGACGACACGTGGTGTTGTCACGGCCAATGCGCACCACCGCGGTATTAATCGGGGCGGCCGCCGCCGCCGGGCCGCGTCGCCGCCCGAGCGTAGGCGGATCCTGTCGGCATGAAGGGTGCGCGTGCGTGCGTGTGTGTCGGCATCGGTGCGTACGTGCTCGCGTCACCCCCGGCGTCACAGCGAGCGCGCGCGCCGGAACGCCTTCGTGTTTGTCGGTCGGCTGCCCCCCCCCACCCTCCCGCGCGTGGGCAGCGGCAGGCTCGGGGGGCGGAGCGGCAGGCAGCGGACTAGGACGGGCTGCCCCTGCCGGGAGACGCGCCCCGCTTGCCGCCCTCCAGGCCGCTCACGAGCCGCTGGATGCTCCGCAGCTCGCTCTTGCCCTCTCGCTCGGGGCTGGCGCCGTGGCTCCTCGGGGGGGCGGGCGACGCGGCCCCCCCAAGTTTCCCCTCGACGCCGGACGCGGCCTCGGCCGCCCCGGACGGCGGCGCCGCGGGCGGCGGGGGCGGAGCCGCGGCCGCCGCCCCCGCGGCCAGGAGGCCCGGGCCGCCGGGGGCCGGGGGCGTGGACAGGGGCAGCGAGTAGGGGCTGAAGCGCAGGTGCTGGCGGCCGAACAGCGGGTGCCGGTGCGCGGGGCTGCCCGCCCCGGCCGCCGCCGCGGCCGCGGCGGCCGCCATGTAGGTGTAGTGGTAGGGGAAGAGGCTGCCGAAGGCCGACACGGGCAGGCCCTGCGACGCGAGCAGGTGGTGGGGCAGTCCCGGGAAGTGCAGCGCGGCCGACGAGGCGGGGACGCCGTGCGGGGCGCCCGCCGCGTCCGCGCCGCCCAGCACGCCCGACATGGAGGCCAGCAGGGGCCCCATGCCGGCGCTCAGGCCCGGGAAGGCGCCCGAGGCCATGGCCATCTGGCCGGGGTGCAGGAAGAGCGGGTGGCTCCCGTTGATGGGCGCGAAGAAGGGCTGCCCGTGCAGGCCCGGGAAGCCGAGGTTGTGCAGCGCTCCCGACGCGACGTGCGCGTGCGGCCCGTCCGTCTGCACGGTGAGCGGGGCGAAGCTCTCCTTGCCGCCGCCGCGCGCGGAGGCCCCGTCGCGGGCCTTGCCCGCCGGGTCGTGGTGCTTGTCGGCGCCGTTGTGCTCGGGGTGGCGCGACGCCTCCGAGGGGCACGAGGAGGAGCGCGCCGGGTGACGCGGGGCATCGCGCTCCGGGGTGCGAGACGAGGAGGAGGAGGACGAGGCGGAGAAGGCGGCCGCGGCGGCCGCGCGGTCTCCCGGGGAGCGCAGCTCCTTGGCCGAGAGGTCGAGGCCGCGGTCCTCGCCGCCGCCGCCGCGGCCTCCTCGCTGCTCGCGGTCGTCGCGGCTCCGCTCTGCGACGCGAGAAGAGAGTTTGAGAGCACGGCTCTGAGCTCGCGGAGTGTCACGACGTCTCTGGGTTAACCCCGCGCTTGCCAACTCCGGGGAGAGGAGGCTCGTTGGCAAGAGCTACGACTTGGGTCACCACCAACGGCACAAACGTCAAATAAAGAGCAGCGATCCGAGGAAACAGCGTGCGTGTTCGTGTTGATGTGCACGCGTGTTTGTGTACCGATGTCACGTGCACACGCGGTAGCGTTTTATATTTTACTGTGAATATCAAAACCAGGCCGTAGTTTTGCTTGCGTTGAACCGACACAGCCGAAATAACGCTCTCCCTCAAAGCCGGAGCGAGCGACGAGATTATTTTGATTCTAAATCCAGTCGCCTGATTGTGGCCACGGCAAAGCGACAGCCATTGCCCCCATCATCATCACCATCATCGCCGGCCATCATTGCCCACGTCTGCCTCCATCTCGGATCCCTGCTCCCACGTGCGCGGAGTCGCAAACTCGCTCTGCCGCTTTGCAAACGCTTCGCGAGACGGCACCAGAGTGGTTGGCACAGATGTACGTATATAAATGTTGAACTTCTCTCGCACCTAACGTAGCCAACCGTGCTAATCGGAGGTGCAATCGTCCGATCACCCGCTCGCACTTTAAACCTCAGTACCTGGGTTCAGCCCGGCCTGAGCACGCACCCCCCCACTGAATGGGAGATTAAAGACGCAGTGACGGGAGTAGTGCGATTGTGGCCATGTCACCCTCACTGTGGGCCCACACAGTAAACCACTGCAGGCTGCGTTCCTTCAACGGAGGAGCAGCCAAACGACACGAACTCTCGCTCTGCTGAAGCCCCCTCGTCGTAGCCAGCAGCAGCAGAACCTCGACAACGTCATCGAGCTCCTGGACTACATCGCCGCCGCCATCGCGCGAGAATCGGATGCGATAGTATCCCGCTGCCCGGTGCCGCCGTGGCGTGTGGCCATCACGGAATCCTCGATCTGGCACCGATTCTCCAGGTTCACGGCACAGACACCGACTCGATTGTGCAGGGACCCAGGTCTCTCGATGATGAACAGGATGATGATGATGACAGTAGATGGGGGGCTACGGGAGGCCGACGCGACGAACCCACGGGTGCAATCGAGACGTACGAGGAATGCGCTCCCGAGTGGAACCGCGACGCCGATTCGTCGCAATTCGTCTGTCGTCTGGATGCCGTGTGCGTGACGGTGGTGGGGCGCGAGTGGTGGTGGGGTGTGAGTGGTGGTGGGGTGTGAGTGGTGGTACTTGGGGTGTGCGTACCGGAGTAGAGCGGGCTGGCAGGGAGAGTGTGTCTGGACGAGGCGCTGGCGGAGCCCGGGGGGGGCTCCTCGTCCGAGTCGCCGTCGTCGCGCTCCTCGCCCTCCGCCTCCTCGTACGTGCGCAGCGAGTGGAGCGCCAGCTGCTTCCTGCAGGGGGCACGGGGGGGGGAGGGCGGGGGTCAGTCGGGGTTGGGGTCAGGGTCAGGAGATGGGGGGCAGCAGATGGTGAGACACGGAGACACCTGCATCGCACGTGGGGGTCAGCTTGATGCTTCTCGTGAATGGTCACCCTGGCGAGTGGCGAGGTGGCCCTGCTGAGTGGTCACCCTGGTGAGTGGTCACCCTGCTGAGTGGCGAGGTGGCCCTGGTGGTCACACTGATGGCGTTCCGCGTCATCGCCGCCAGGTGGCGCCACTTGCTCGGCATTGACCCCCGAGGCGACGAGAATCAGGACTGGGGCAGGTGAGCAGCGGGGTGAGTTTGTTCCCACCGGGGGGTGTGTAGAGCTGGGTGAGCGAGGGCACGTGCGGGGTGGTGGTGCGTGGTGGTAGTGGTGCGTGGTGGTGGTGCGTGGTGGTGCGATGCCCTCCGCACCACCGCCCGGGTGCGAACTCTCTACCTCTTCTCTCGGCGGCCGTTGCCCGTGTCCCGGAACCCCTTGGCGAAGGGGTTGTTGTCGATCTTCAGCTGTGTGATCTAGGGGAGGGAGGGGTGGGGTGAGAGGAGAGGGACGTGAGGGCGGGGGGGGGTCACCGTGGGGCGGTGTGTGTGTATATTTACCCCGTGTCAATGAACACTGTGTACATGTGCAATGCGTACGTGCGCGTGTGTGTTTGTGTACACAGCGTGTGCGTCTCTGCTTGTGTTAAGCTCCGTATGTGTCAGTGTACAATGCACGTGTGTGTTTGTCAATGAACATCGGAGCTCGCTGGCAGCACTTGCCCCGACAGCACGTGCGGATATATTCCGGGGCATCTTTGTCTTTGTCAATGTACACGCGCTGTAGCGACATGGGTGCAGTGCTATGTTAACACTCTTTCTCTGTGCGTGTGTGTTTATGTATGTATTGTGTAAGCTCTGTATACGTGTGGATACTGTTATGTCAGCGTGTTTCAATGTGCGATGTGTAACGCGTGTGTGTACGTGCATGGCGATGTTGCAGGCTGCATGCGCGCACTTGCTGTGCACGCACAAGCGTGTGCACACTTGTGTACAATGCGTGTGCATCTACAATGCGTGTGCATCTACAATGCGTGTGTCTATTCCCCTGTCAGTCTTAGAGTTGGTCCCGAGATCCAACAACCTTAGCGCACAGCCCGTGCGGTCCGGGTGACACGGACACAACACCCTACACTGCAATGCCACTCGAATACAGCCAACACGGTCCGAGCTACTCCGCACAACACGCGGCCACAGTTCATGAGATGCGGAACACCCCGACCCACGGATGTCGCGACCTGTATCACTGCAGTGCGAGTGACGACGACACACAACAACAACAGCCAACAACAGCCAACAACAGCCAACAACAGCCAACAACAGCCAACAACAGCCTCACCGCCACTGCGGCCTGTCCACCGCCCCCCGTAACTCACAGCGAGACGGCACCACCTTTCAGCGAGTGTACGCGGGGAGCGACACGTGGGGGAGAGGACGGGGACAGGGGTAGGGGACAGGGGTAGGGGACAGGGGTAGTGGACAGGGCTAAGGAGAGGGGTAGTGGAGAGAGCTGTGAGAGCGGGGTAGGAGATAGGGGTCGGGGAGAGGACTGGGAGGGAGGCGTGAGACAAGGATGAGGGGTCTTTGCCGAGCCCGTGCGTCGATCCCAAGGGGACCCCGAGAGGACCGTACCCCCCCCCCCCCCCCCCCGAGAAACTGTCCGTGGCGGGGGGCGAATTCGCTCCCGCGTAGCCCGCCGCGTGTGTGCACACGCGCGGCGAGAGCTTGCACACAACACGCACTGCTGTCAGTGTACACAGCAAGCGTGTGCACACACCGTGCACTGCGAGTATACACGGCACGCGCGCTCTGGAGCTCGCGGCGAGAGAGAGGGAATTAGTAATCGAGACGCGCGTGGATTTCACTCAAATTACAACTGCGCAGAATTTCCGACTCCCAAACAAAACTTAGCTTAGCGTGGGAGGTGGATGCGGTGAGGTTCTCCCCCCCCCCACCCCATTGCTTCAATTCGCAAGTTTGATTTCAAGACCGAGCCCTGAAGATGTTCCGCGCTCTTTGTGAATGTGCGGGGGCAGTGGTGGCGCGCTCACGGCACTCGCCCCAACGGTCCTTTAAGGCTATATGGGGCACCTTTGTCTTTGGAGAGTGGTGGCGCATTGGTTAGCGGGACTGCTGCGCTAAGAAACCCAGCGACCGGAGTTCACGACCAACACCAGTGACGATTATCCGAACCGGTCGTGGGTCTCCTTTAGGTCGACTCAGCCGCAAATGAGTATCGGGTGCGGTGTGTAAACATCGCCACTGGGGATACAAAGGTGCGTGACGATGGCCACCCACCCCTCGTGTGCCGTTCTGGCCTTCATAGACACTGTACTCGCTAACGGCACTTGCCCCAACAGTTTGTCACGTCTATACGGGAGATCTTTGTCTTTGTAATGGTGTGCGCGTGTGTGAGAGTCCGTGTGTGCAACTGTGTGCCCGGGTGTGTGCGCGTGGTGTGTGCACGAGTGAATGTGTGCACGAGTGTGTACGTGAATGACTGTGTACGTGAATGACATATACCTGCACGTATATCTATATCACACTCACAAACACACACGCGTTCTAACACAAGTACAGAATGTCTCGAGCCTGACACACTGTTGGGCAAGCACTGTTAGCGAGCACCAATCAAAGCCCCATGGGAAGGGAGAGATAAAGAACCACGCACGACCGTCTTTGTCTCCCCAGTACAAATGTTCACAGACCGTGCCAGCTACTCATTTTAGTCTGAATCGGCCAGGGAGAGAGACAGCTCGGACGGGTTCGGGTACCATTGGTCCCTGGGTGCGTCGTGTCTGTCCATGGCCCGGTGTTGAACCTGGATGGCAGGGAAGGCTGCGCAGTGCGATAAATACAGCGCCACCACTCTCGTGACACGCAATAAATGCGTTTCTATTGGTTGTGGGCCTGCCCGAAGTCGGCTCAGCCTTAGAATAGCATCTGGGTCTGGCGTTCAAAATATCAGCACTAGGGAGACAAAGGCGGCTGGCCGGGCGTGGTGCTGGCCACCCACCCCGTCGTGTGCCTCCCCGGTCTTTATAGGTGCTCGCTAACAGCACTTGACCCAACATTCCGTTGATGGCTATACGGGGATCTTTGTCTTTGTCGTATGAAAGGGGGATTCGCCCACTCTCTGTCGGCTTTACCGTCACACCCGGCGGGAGGCGAGTTACTCGGTTCACCGGTGATGGATCGTGTGGACCCCGCGCTACGATTGAGACCAATCGACCCCGGGAGCTCGGGGTCCTTACAGGGCCGCCAGCAGCCACAGGGCGACAGTGCCGAGTCTCGGATATGTGCACACAGAGACTCGACTGCAGGGTGCGTGTGTGTCTGCGTGTGTGTGTCTGCGTGTGTCTGGGTGTGTGTCTGCGTGTGTGTGTCTGCGTGTGTCTGGGTGTGTGTCTGCGTGTGTGTGTCTGTGCGTGTGCCTGCGCGTGTGCCAGCGTGTGTGTCTGCGCGTGTCTGGGTGTGTGTCTGCGTGTGTGCGTGTTTGTGTCTGCGCGTGTGTCTGCGCGTGTGTCTGCGTGTGTGTCTGCGTGTGTGCCTGCGTGTGTGTCTGCGTGTGCCTGCGTGTGTGTCTGTGCCTGCGCGTGTGTCTGCGCGTGTGCCTGCGTGTGTCTGCGTGTGTCTGCGTGTGTCTCTGCGTGTGTCTCTGCGTGTGTGTCTACGCGTGTCTGCGTGCGTCTGCGTGTGTCTGCGTATGTGTCTGCGTGTGTCTGCGTGTGTCTCTGCGCGTGTCTGCGTGTGTGTGTGCGTCTGCGTGTCTCTGCGTGTGTCTCTGCGCGTGTGTCTGTGAGGAGCAGAAGTGTAGCGGTTAGCGCGCTGCGCTGCGAACCCGGCGACCCAAGTTCCATTCCCGCTCACAGCCAACATCAGTGACGAATATTTGAACCGGTCCTGGGCCTCCCCTAGATCGACTCAGCCTCAAATGAGTACCTGGTGCAATTTGTAAAAAACTCGCCACTACGCAAAGGTGGCTGGCCGAGCGCGGTGCTGGCCACCCACCCCCTCGTGTGCCGTGCCGGCCTTCATAGGGGCTTGCTAACAGCACTTGCCCCAACAGTCTATTAAGGATATACGGGTAATCTTTGTGTGTGAGAGGCAAATACCACACCACTTGCCCTTCTAGAATATCGATAGAATATACAGCAGTGAGTCACCATCGTCTGTATGTATGACACATGCACATCAATACACACGGTACACGCATGGATGTACATGAAGTATGTGCTACGCATGTGTTCAGGCCCAGTGAGAGGCTCCACACGCCATGCGGCTTTATTTGACCATACTTCACCACGATGGGCAGTGCGGATTGGTGAGGATACATATAATATAACTGGTATACACATATCATCGCGATTTCAACTTTGACTACCACCATTACCTCCACCACCACCGCAAACACAACTACCTCCACCACCACCTCTATCAATACCTCCACTACCACATCCACTACTACCACCACGACCACCACGACCATCATGATCTACCACTACAAACACAACTACCTCCACCACCATCACTACCTCTACCACCACGAAGTCTACCGCGACCTCTGTCATCACCACAACTCAACGCTCACAGGCGCAGGGACGCGTCGGTGGAGACGTTCATCCCCATGCACAGAGGCGGCCACACCAGAATAGAGAATCGCAGAGCTTGGGCTACCACCCGCCCTTCCGCTGATCTGTGGTTCCCGTCTCCTCCGTGCGACTGCGGCGATGTTGCGGGTGGTGGTGTTGTTGGCTGCGCACGTGACCCGGCGCTGTGGAGGCAGCGGCGAGGGTTGGTGGGTCACACGCAGATGTCGTGAGATTCTCTCCTCGTTGGTTCGGCGTCGAGGAACCGTAACCACTGGGACTGTGCCAGGAGAAGGCAGTGACAGCAAAGTGGGGACTGGTATCACCTGTGCCTGATTACCATGGGATCGAGTGTTGCCCCCTCGCACGCGTGAGTTTTCTCCCAAGTGTATCATAAACACAGCTCATCATTAACTGGGGCTGAACACATCTTACATCGAGAAACCCAACGTAGCGGCAGCAGCAGGACCCTCTAGATAAAGCGGCACGCGCCTCTCTTGGGTAAATGTCAATTATTATTATTTGAAATGCGATTTGCATGAATGACAATGGCTAACTACAAATCACACTTCACGGCGATGATGTCGTCGTTGTACACAAGTGTATTGTATCAATGCGCACCACGTAGGCGCGACTTGCTACACGAGTGGAGGTGTTAAGTTCCCGCTACATCATGAGATCGTGAGAGATGGCGACCGCGTGGGGAAATCTTCATCCACCAGGAGATTGATCGTAGCTGCTGCTCATGATGGCGATGGAAGAGAGCCGTCTTGATCCAATAGACATGTAGATCAGAGAGGGAGAGCCGCGGTGCAATGGTGAGCACGCTGTGCTTTGAGTTCAGTGGGGAGTAACATCTGAATCAGTCCGACCAACTCCGCCAGCCCT